TGTAGAATTTTGTTTTCTTTCTCGTGATATAAAAATAATTATTTTATGATGAAAAATGATAGAGATATCACAGTCACAATGAAGGCCTATGAAATGCCCGTTCGCTTTAGGCACATTGACTCTATACTAGAAATTGTTTGGGATTATTATATTCTTTTTGCTTGAAAAAATATTTTTCTGCTAATTTTTGTTAGCTCTTAAAAAAAAAAGAAAAATGCGTTTTTAGGGCACCTTCAATATTCTCGCTTTATTTTTTCTTTGAAGGATAAAAATAAGTAAAAAGATTTTCAGCTCGATCGAACGTAGCATCTTGGACAAACGTTGATCAGTATATCATAAAAGACAACTTTTATTGTTCTCACCAAGATCTGTGTGTCTTTAAAATTTCGAATTTCTCTGATTAACCCGCTCTTTAGAAACCTCGAAAATACTTTTTAAAACATATGTAATCGTCTTAGAAAGATGATACTTCGAAAAATTATCGAATTTTTTCAGTTCGTCAATGTCCGCTAACATTTAACACTTTATATAGATTTTGAGCTTTTTTTTTTAAATCGATGAGTTCCTGATAGGTTAAGAACATGTTTCATAAATTAGGAAGATATTCTTGGATATGTTTCAAATGATAAATTCGATTTGTTATTCAAAAAGAAAAACGTAAGAACAATTTGAAAAGTTTTGCATTCGTTAGATTTATTATTTGAATCGTATTTTTCAAAAAACAAAAATATCAAACATCTTCAATGTGTATCAAATGATTTATATGAAAATTTGTTTTCAACTTTTTGTTGTATTCAATAGGAATGCAATAATGACGATAACTGACTATTAGTCCGGATTGGATGAATAATCATTATCGTTGCATTTCTATCAGTCATGAAAACAAACAAACACATAAAAGAAAAAAAAATTGTCTTCATTTATTTATCTCTATTGAACAACAATAGCTGCCATATGATAATATGAAGTTGACATTGATGTAACTTGTTGATTATTCAAAAGATCAATCGATCTTGGTTCATGTTCTTTATATAAATATCTATGACCTTGAGCTTCTGCATGTCCTAAACGACCATCTGATCCACAACCCCAGGTAAAAACTCGTCCATCTGTTGATAATGCACTAGAATGAATACCACCAGCAGCTATCATTTTAAATGGACATGTTCGTGTTAATTCAATTAGTGTCCATTCACCGGTAAATAATTTATCAATATCAATACCTAATTTAGCTTTATAATTTGAACCCATTGAATAAATACATCCTTGTTCTGTAAGTAATAAAACATGAGCATGAAATTGTCCACGACTACATGATATTTGTATTGGTCGATCATTATTATTATTATTAATTAAATCCTTTTGTATTGGATCATTAATTGATATATTTCGAAAATTTTCTTCATTAGATATTTTACCATAAGGTACAGTTGATCCCCATAAATAAATATGACCTTGTTCTGTTATAAAACCATTTACAGATGAACCAATATCAATATGTTGAATTTTATCATTACTATCAGATAATTGATAAAGACAAATCCATTCTGTTGTAAAACCATCTCGATTAAAACGTCGTTCTTTTATTTGACAACCATTTATAACAATTATTATTGAATTTTCACCACAAGCACAATGTGTTATTGTTTGTTCACTTTGTAAAATTTGTTTTGCTTGATAACCTATACCTTTACCAAAACCCCATAATTCTCTTTTATCTGTAGTTAATAAAATAGTTGTTGCTGGTCCCGATGAAATAAAATTAAATGGAGGAAGTCGACCTTTGATTAAAGTTAATGTTGGTACAATTGTTTTATCATCACCTTGACCAAGTCGACCATATTTTGGTTCATCACCTACAACATGTACACGATGATTTGAATCAAGAACAACAGTAAAATTTGTGCCACATGCTACTTGTTCGAAATTGCCTTCTAATCGTTGATTTATTGTTGTTTTTGTTGGTACATGACATTTAATTCGTTTCTGTGACTGAGAATCATAAATAATTCCCCATTGATACAGATGTGTTGCCATATTTAACTATTCAAACGCAAACACAACCAAAAATAAAAAAGGTTCAGAAAAAAATTTCTTTTTTTATAGCGTCTATTGACGTATTAAAAGAAAAAAACATGTATTCAAACAAATGAGTCATTTGATATGTTACTATAGAAAAAATAATGAATCACGACAACAATAATAACATACAGAGAAAAAAAAAAGAATTTTTTCTACTACTGTAAAAGCTTGTAAGGATCATTTTAAATTAAGAATAAATCTTAATTATACAAAATGATAATACAATTATAGTTAAATGATCTAGTAGAGCATCTAGTAATCGCCTTATATAGTGAAAAATTTAGCTATTGCTAATACAAATATTAGACAAGATAGTAGACCTGGAGTTGTTTAATATTGACAAAAATCAAAAGAATATTATTTGAAATGCTACCAACATAATATGTTCCCATGTGATAACTATCGAGAAACTATCACCGGTTTTCTTTTGAAAGTGTTGTATCAAAAGGGGGAATATTTTTGAAGTTTATTAAAACTGACAGAAATGAGTGGCTTTTGATGCACTCATATAATGTTGATACGTCTAAGAAGTCTGTACTAGACACATAGCCCAAATCGGCTCCAATTATGAGATTAATTTTGATTATAGATGGCACAGCAAACACTTTTATTAGTAAAATATAGTCTTATCGGTTAATTTGAATTCTTTCTAATAAATTATTCAAATTTGGGTAAGAAAACGCTGCAAGTGCTTATAGCTGCAACTCAAAGTCATAAACGCTGTCGCTGATGACTCATGCAGTTAGACATGTGAAATCGACGTGTTAAAGCAACTCTTACTTTTCTGCTATTTAATTCATTTTACACAGTCAAAAATGTCCGAAAAACTGCGCTTTAACAGTGCCTTTTTTCTTGTACTCCAATCCAGTCATAACAGTTTTCAGGAAAACATCTTAACATGTTTCCCAAATAAACGCGTTATAACTCGTAATTTCAGATATATATGACTGTGTGCCATTCAGTTAAATGGAAAGCGTGTTTTAATACAGTGTTTACTAATAAATAATAGACTACACATAACATTGATTCATAGAAGATCAAAGATTAAGGATCATAGAATAGTAGTGTAATTTCATTTTTATCCGAAAACCAGATTCGTTGCCATGTTAATATAAATAATTGACTAAGAGCTTCGGAGTAAAATTTTTTTTAAAGTTTTATTTTAACTTCAAGATAATGAAAAAAAAAATCACACTAAAGAATCAAGATATGACACTGTATTTAAAATTAACGCAAGGCTCAACACTAGAGTTATATTTTTTTTAAATGATTTTTTCACTATTTGGAAGTCAATAATATAAATTACTTCGAAATATTCGTGACACTGTTTTTTTCTAATGTAATTCGTCGTATTCTATGCAACCATAATGAAAAACGAAGAATAAACATTAATGCAATTTTGTAGTATCAGCACACGGTAGACAGTAAACAGCTTCAAATTCGAATATCTCGGTCTTTGTTTGTGCTATAGACGGCTTATGCTTTAAATTAGTTAGTTTGGCAGTCAGAGTAGTCATTTGATCCGAATATGATCAATCTCCTTTATTTACAGTACACGACCTTCAATTATAAGCTACAAACTGTTTGCGCTGTCTTTTTTTTTTTACTGTGTAATACGAATGGAAATAAAGTACGAGTCGAGAAACAAAAAGTGAAATATTTTATACCAGTACGTCAACATGATACCTGTTGGCTTGCAAAAAATTACTCTTTCTGATTAGTTTTCGGTTTTGGCAAAAAACTTCTGATTTTTAAGTTTTTTACCTGGCAATCCTAATTGTAGCTATTCTTCACTAATTCTACCGATAGTTTTTATTAATTGGACTACATTGAAAAATTCTCTGATATCAAATATTGAATTAAAAAAGTGAAGCGCGCATTACAGAGTACTCTGCTATAGAAGAACTATTTACCTAAATATCTAGCACAAGGATGAAGATCCTAATAATGGATGTTTTTTCCTTGCTATCCTATATATTCTTGGTTAATATCAGTTCATCTCTAGACAATTCATATATCATTGCAATTGCAAAAATTATTCAAATATCAAGATATTTCCACCAAGACGAAAACATAAAGAAACTGCTGAAAACTTTTTTTTATTTTTTATCTATATGATGAACTATTCTTTCATTTACTATTTTTTACTAACAATTCAGTATCTTTTCGATAAAGATTCAACATAATTGTACGATTTCTCATAAATATTTTTTCTTTTTTATGTTCAATAGGAAGGACATTTAATTATTTCAGTTTTCAATTAATCTTTCAAAATAATATTAATTTATATAAAATGATTAATTTATTTTACAAGCGTTGCGAAAGCCTCTGCTTTCTTTTTCAATGTTTAATGTTACAATAAAAGAACAAAATGACAAATGTACAAATGCTAATATTTTTTTTCTTCTATCTTTTTCTTCTAATAATCGTACGAAGGAAACAAAATGATAATACTGGACGAGATGAGTTCAAGTTCATCTTGTTTTGTACTATTATTATTAGAAAAAGATAAAAGACAAAAGTATTAACATTTGTACATTTGTCATTTTGTTCTTTTATTGTAACATAAAACACTGAAGAAAAAAAGCAGATGCTTTCAAAACGTTTGTAAAATAAATAAATAAATATTATTGTGGAAGATTAATCGAAACTGAAAAAAATTCCTTTTCTTTATTAGTTTGAGTTGAATTTTATTTCAAGAATTTTTTTGCTGTTAAAATAATATGTAAGGATTTAAGTGAAAAAGTGCAAAAGAAAATATGTAAATCTTTGATAATTTTTGTGGTCAAAATAATATTTCTTTTTTCAAAATGAGATTTTCTGACATACTTAATCAACTTATTATTGCGAAAATCATTACAGTGTATATAATAGATCAGCTACGTAGGACTTTTTTATGTACTTATATACTTAATTAGATGAAAAGGATGTATATCCATTTAATTAGGAACAATATGAATGACTGAATAGTTGTTGTTATTGCTCTTTATCTTTATTACGCCTAATGAGTCATGGGGTATGTTTATGAGTTTTTGGGTTTTTCTAATAAAAAAGATTTTCTTGTTTTTTTTTAATTTAATTTTAATTTGTTTTTAACACAAGCTTTTATTTTAAACTTTTTCTATAACGAAAGTCTGTGTTTTGGGTTTTATTTAATTTTCGAGCGGAAATTCTATTTAACCTAAAGTATTTGTTATGAGAATTTAAATCAATTGTGAACTTTATTGTACAATAATAAGTGAGACTCATTCATTAGATGTATCTTGTTTGGCTGTGTTATGAAAACAGTTTAGTTTACATCTAATCTAAAACAAACTTTGTAAAAGTTGTATTCAGTAAAGAAAATATACTATCATCTTATTTGTATGAATATTGATCCATATTCATTTAGTCAAGGTATACTTTAATGCACTTTAATTGTCAATAAGCTGCATTACAGAAACAGAAATAACTATTTTTATTTGTAGGAGATCTTTTAATATATTCGCGAGCAATTGAATCCTATTGTACTCGAACCATTGAGTAAGATTATCATTTATTAAAGCATAAAGTCCCTTGTAGAAAGAAAACATCGATTTGAAAAATCAGAAGCTTTTATGTTGCATGAAAGATGAGATCTGGAAATAGAAAACAAGAATTGTTTTCTAAAAATAAAATATTATTGAGATAATCATTGTATAGATATTATTGAAAACTTAGTGCCATATTTCATGAAGAAAAAAGAATTATGATGTTGTGAATATACTTTTAAATAGATGATTTAGTAATACATAACTAACGATATTCAACTAGACATGAAGAACAGATCTATTCACAAACAATTGTTCGACATGTCATCTAAAACAATCAAAATTATAAAAGTCGCAATTTTTTTTTGTTAATTATCCGACAAAAACTAGATTTTGTTGTGGGTGTGGATGTGGGTTTTCATCCGAGGGAAAAGAATACCACCCAGCACATCCACACAAACATCCCACCTACACCCACAATCATATTTTACGATCAAAAGGATTTCAATGCATTCTACTCATTTTCATGGTTTAAGTATTGATTATTGTACACCGTTTTAGCTTTTTTCTTGCATAAATTTGTTCGTAAAACTGAATTGCCTTAGCCTCAGTGATTAACCTAGTTAGTAATAACAGTACAGCAGTCGTCAACCACTCCATTGAGATCGCGAGGTTGATGCGTTGACTTTGGTACCAACAATAATTTCCAAATAGTTGGAAGGGTACAAATATGTATCCTCGATTGCAATGTTATTTTCAATGCCAGATGAAATGAATGCAGGTAAAGAGTGTACTTATTTATCGGAGTGTACCAATGCTTGTCACATTAGTGAGGAGTTATCGAAATACTTTATTTGCTTATCAGGAAATGAATAAAAAAAATTTTACTTTTCTCGTGGGTATTACATATTAGTTATCAGCTTTTAGTACGCTGTCCATCATAAATTGATTCACAAACTAGATGGAAGCCTTCCAATATTTCTGATGAGTTGTATAACTTACAAAAGTCGTTGTCATTATCAGAAGATCAATTCTTCTCACCATGACATAGATAAGAGATGCGTGTACAAGCAATCCGATGATTCCACTATGAAAATCTTGGAAGAAAATGAACTCGAAAAAAGTATCTTTCATTGGAGCTTTCAAAGCAATGCATGGCATCATCTTCTGCTCAGTTGACAGATAAACAGATGAATGGGTATGTGACATGATGAAATAAACATATGCTCAATAGGAGGACATATCGATATAGAACAATTTACTTCATTAGCTCCATATCGACAATTCTAATAGTCATTGTATCGTGTGCATAAATGCGACTCATGATTCAAGCGTGCCACATATGGTTATCGAAAAATCTTGCTCCATGGTCTCTCATGTGTTTGAAATCAGCCAATATCGTCGATAAATCCATCAGTAGACTCACGCGTCTATATTTTCGTGCTCTCAATTAACCGTGAATGTGCAATAAATACTTTTCTCTGGTGTAAAAGAACATTTATTAGACTAAAAAAAATCTTCGTCATCAAGTATTTCGAAACTCATTTCAACTAGAAACGTTTCATCTTCAGTTCTAATAAAAGCCTTGCCAAAGTTGCTACTACTGAAGCATGTTGTACTTTCAAATTTGTCATACAGAATGAGTCAAAATCGAATGAACACCTTTTAGATCACTAATCAATCTTAACATTGAAGAAGGATTTTGTTATATGGAATACAGCATACAATCAAGGGTTTATTTGTTAAATACTAACTCATCATAATATCGAATATTTCAAATGATAGTTGAACAAATGAAATCATTCTTTACTCACACACTTTTTTGTCTTTTTATTGATATATATCGTAGGAAAGAAAATCAATAACATAAATTAAAGGTTTGTGATTCCAAAGTGATGAATAGTTTAATTCTATAAATTTGATTTTCACTGTTGATAATTGATACACTGAATCTCGCCTGTTGTATGTATCCATTCCTTTAAATATATCTGTCAAGCTAAAGGTTTGATAGTGTAGACAACTGATTGTATCATTTTCTCAAAACCGAATGCATTTATATTTTGAATGGTATCACAGGAGAAAATATAACACTGTTGTTCCTTTAACACTTATTCTAGTAGCATCTGAAGCGAAACGAGGTTATGTGAACAGACAGCAAGCGCTCTCGAATGAGTAGGCTATTGTTTATTGAAAGAAAATCACGAGAGAAATAATCTTTGAATAGAACGAGAGAGAACAATATCAAGTAGGGAAAAGAGTTTCATAGCTGGGTGGCGGCATCATTTCATCGTCATTTGTTGGAGTTGCATTTGTGATGATCAAAGGAAACTGTAGACGAACATTATTGAAGGGGCCATGTATATGAGCCTCGAGAAGAAGCTTGTAACATACAATTAATGGATTTCGAAAAGGCCATCGAGTTGGTTTCCACGAGAACGAGGGTACAGTGCTTTTAGGCAGAAGAAGTGTGAAGTTACCGCGTGAATGTTCATCCTGAAAATCAAAGACATTTGTAAGATTCTTTGTCACTAGAATCACGTTTTTCTCCACTGTAGGACCCAGTATTCGTTCTTGAACTAGAATTGCCGATATTCGATGAATTATTGCTCGCTTTGGATTATATAAGTCAACTTGTAAGGAGAAGTGCTCACCAGCAACAACGACATTCTTCTCGAGAAATACATGTAAACGAACACCTTTTCGATTTTCATTTTGATCTTCAAGATGAGTCGCGGGCACCGATGTTATCGAACGTTGAACTACAATGGGATATCGTTGTTCAACGGGTATCTTATACCAATCTGATTGCATTAATCTGGCACAAAGGAAATAATGAATAAAGGAACTGTGATGATTAGTTTTTTTCAGAGTAGGCGGGAGTGAATCATCGAGTTGAAAAGAAAATGGCCATATATGATTGCCTGGTGTAAGGATGAATTCGTTCTGATTGCCATCAGCTAAACGTAGAGTTAGCTTTTTGATAAAGAAAGGTATGTGACGAGTAGATGACGATTTCTGTTTACTTGAGCTCTGATGAGTCTGGTAAACGAGTTCACCGATCAATTCGATGCTGACACTTTTTAATATCACTTCAGAACCACCATTATAGTAACATTCGATCGTGCCAAAAACGATCTCGCCCGTTCGATAAAATGTGTTGGTTTGTTCAGAAAACCGAAGTAAAACATTTGTCCCAGTTAATGTACTATTCTCAGAGCCCATTGATATCTACAAGAAAATAGTTCGAAGTGACAAGTACGCGTTTGTCTATCTTTTATTTCTGTTGATAGTAAACATTTGTCCACGGTGACTGCGTATACAGTGCAATAGAGGATTTATCGTCTCAGCACCTATTGATCAGTCAAAAATGGAAGGAAAAAAGAAAGAAAAGGAAAGGGTCGATGAAGGATGATGCAGCGCGATAAAAGAAGCAAACAGAACACAAGAGAAAGAAGAAGTGTCACAGTGAAAAGTCTTGTTAGAAAGTTATAAAGAAATAGAGAAACCAGAGAACACCTTTCTATCTAGTTTGTTTCTTGTAATACTGACGATAGTTTACTAGCTTAGAACGAAATAGCATAGCGTAAAAAAGAAGATGATGGCAACTACTATTTCTTGATAAACATGCGAGGCACAGAAATAAGAGATCGCGCAGTCCTAAATTGTTTCGCAAAAACCGGTGATCATATTGCGCAGTGCACCGCAAGAGGAATAGATGATACTAAACTCGCCACTGAACCCATGTAAAAATATTTGGAAAGAAATTACATTAAAGTCTATTATTCGTTGATTAAAACTCGATTAAAATTGTTTTTTTGACAAAAAGGTAGATTTCTCTGATTTTTTCAAATCAATTGCAACCGACTAAAATTTATTATTCGCTTAATGAAATAATAGCTTTTAATCCATTAACATCGATTCTATAAAATCCAAAAGAATTACAGAAACTTACTCTTTTGACTGATAAAAATGATTTTAAACGATTTTCAATCAAACAATATGAAATTGTAATTTCATTTAGTGCTACGTTTGTTTTTTAAAGGCAATTTCTTTTTCTCTGTAACAGATTAGATGGATGCATAATAAGGGTGCTGCAAATGTTTGAGAGAAAACTGCTCCAACTGATTTGCTATCGGTTTTATCTGTAATATGTAGACTTTCATCAAAGTAAGAGTTGATTTCAATCTGAAACTTATCGACAAGAATTACTTTTACACTTCGTTAGGTCTGAGTATTTTGTAGTTATGGCAAGACAACACGCTAAAAAGACGATTTATTTGACTTAATCTTATAGAAATATGAATACAATATACAATAGTCTAATCCTCATTGGCAGCTATATCTGATAGTACGGGTGACTTTTTATAATACTTTTATGGAATTTTTAGAAACTTTTATTATTAAAAAGACCGAACTATCAGCAAATGCAACGAGGGTTACTATGATTGTCAATAAGAGTCGGTTTTCTTCTTTTATTCAATGGGAAGTGTAGGGAAAACAGACATTGAAAACCGCATGGAGTAGTTCGTTTCACATAGTTTACAGAGATATTACGTAGATACGATGACTTTTCTTTTTTTGACGTTTATTTTTCAACAAACGCTATAAAATGCATACACTTGAATTTTATAAATATAGAGGGTGGGCCAGCAGTGTTGACTCGATTTGAATCATAAATTTTTCTTTAGTAAAACTCGTGGTTGAAAATTTGCCTGTATGAAGAAGAGATGCAGTAAAAGACGCTCCACAAAATTACTATTGATTGACCCAAGTAGCACATCTAGTAAGAAAGTTATAGGCTTAGAAATGTACTTCACAAAAAAGAAAAATTAACCGTGAACTCGGTCTCGGCATTTGTACTTTAACTTCTATTCCTTCGGTCTCCAAGGACAAAACCTTGTATCGATAGAAGTCTTGTGAAATACTACAAAATTATACCTAAACTTTAATTTCCGAACTTCAATCAAGGAAATTAAGCAAATTATAAACGAGGCGAAAACAAAATGAAAAATGTGATTGAAATTGTAATCTTCTAGATAGGTTGAGAGAACAATCATTTCTGATTCAAACCAAACAAACTCGATCGAAAAATCTGTCGTTTTGATGATGTTATGGGACTTTTACTGAAATCATCACAATGTAGACCGGGTTCACGGTTAATTTTTTTTGTGAAGCACATTTCTAAGCCTATAACTTTCTTACTAGATCAGATAGTTGGGTCAATCAGTAGTCATTTTGTAGAGCGTCTAATACTGCATCTTTTTTTTCATAGAAATAAATTTTTAACCACCAGTTTTACTAAAGAAAAATTCATTGTATAAATCGAGTCAGCACTTCTGGCCCATTCCTTTTCTTCCCGATAATAACGACTAGAGATATGTAAATTTAGGGCAATATTCATCTAGTTACAAGGCATTAGTCTCCAACTTTGAGCGTTTTTGCATTTGTAATAAGGGAGAACGATCAATTTTTCTAAGAACGGCCAAGACTTTTGGATCACTCTATATATATATGCGCAAGTAAAGAAAGTTTCAACAGCAGTAATCAACTCAAAAATTAATAAAAAGGTTGCAAAATTATTCAATCAAAATAAAATTATACAACAAATAAATCTTATTTAATATCAATTGACGATCTATCAACAATCCATGGTCAATCTAAATTACCTGAGACACATACACCAATGAAAATAGTTACTTGCTCAACCTAGGTCAACGATTCCGGCCTCCGGATCCTTCAGGAACCGGCCGGAAACGATGTAATTTCCGATCTTTTCAAGCCGTTTGCGGTGTCTTTCCGGCCGTAAACGGGCGGAAAAATACCCGGAACATGGAAGCAGTATTCCGGCCGGAAATTTCTCGTACCCGAAAACTGAATGTTCCGCTAATTTCCCGCCACCGGAAAGCAACGGGAAAAAAACACGGAACCTAGCGGAACACCCCGGAAACCGGCAAGGAACTCACCGTTTCCCACCGGGAAAACATGAAAACTTGTTCGAAACCTCTTTGAAAGATCTTTGAAATATTATGAAAGATCTTTGAAAGATCTATGAAATATCTACCAAATATCTTTGAAAGATCTTTGAAATACTATGGAAGATCTTTGAAAGATTTTTCAAACACTTTGATCGATACTTTTTCCATGCACCTCAGGTTGATGCCGCCTTGCACACGTAAGTCGCAACAATCAAAACACATCACTTTCGCCGCGATTGCGCACGACGATTCTTTCCTGGGAGCTGTTTTCAGACGACTATCTGAGTTTGGAAAAATAAAATATGTCGGAAATCTTTTGTCGCATATCCTACACTAAAAGGTATCATTGAGTCTGAGATCACCAGACTCTTCACTACGAAGACTTGGTATGTACACCGACGTTGGTGAAAGTGCACAAGAAAATTTGAATCCGCATCCTCCTTACGAACCAGAATGAAATACCATGCTTTGGTACTTCGTAGGTATGGAAGAGTGCTTGCTCTGGGGCACGACATCAACTCTGTCTTTACACATTACGCGTAGGGATTATGAAGTCTTTGATAGATCTCAGAAGTGATAGAGAGATCTTTGAAAGGATCTTGAGAGATTTTGCAAACTGTCCTAAAGATATTTGAAAGATCTTTTAAAGTCTTCGAAAAGTCTTTGAAAAGTCTTGCAAGGTCTGAGAAAGGCATTTAAAGGTTATTGAATGTTCTCTCAAGGTCTAAAGAAGTGTTCGAAAGTTGTTTGAAATATGTTTCGATGTATTTGAAAGATGCTTGAAAGTCGTAGAAAGATGTTTAAAGGTCGTTGAGAAATCTTGGAAAGTCTTGGAAAAGGCTTTGAAAGATCTTTGAATGTCTGAGAATGTTTCTGAAAGTTTCAGAAAGATTTTTGAAGGTCGTTGAAAGATCTTTCAAAGTCTCAGAAAGTCTTCCAAATATGTTTGACAGATCTGCCAAAGTCTCAGGATCTCTTATGAAGATGTTTGAAAGATCTTTCAAAGTGTTCGAAAGGGTTTTGAAACATGTCTCAAAGTCTTTGAAATATGTTTCAAAGGTCTTTGGAAAGACCGAATATGGGCTTTGTCAACGAAACGGAAACAGGTGGGATATAACCGGATTCTGTGATCGGGACGAAAGCCCGAAGCTGTATTTTGGAACCATATGGGAAACGGCAGGTATACGACTCGGATCCGGTTAAAGTAATTAAGAACAGGGAACTTAGTCGGGAACCTCACGGGAAACGACAGCTGTATTCGAAGATCGCACCCGGAGGTAGGAATGAGCGGGAACTAAGCAGGATCCGGATGCCAGATCCGATTTGGGAATACTGCTTCCCGGAATTGGCCGGAATTTCACGGGATCCGACCGTTTCCCGCCGTACATCTTTGACCTGGGAAAGGATGCAATTACATCACTATTATCTCAACTTATATTCAAATTAACTCAAGAATTTAGAACAACGTTAAATGGAATGATATGTAACGCATCAACTTTTGTTAAAGAAGGGTGAAATATAAAACTAAATAAAGAGGATTATTTAGCAAGTATTGATATGAAAGATCTATTGAATTAATCCTTAAAAAACAGTTATTTTGAATTCAATGGTAAATTTGATAAACAAAAAAGAGATTTAAAATGGCTACCATTGAAGTGATCAGTATAATAAATGAAATGATCAGTGAAAAGTATGTAAATGATTAAATATAAATATTAAACGATGAGTACTAAAATTAGCAGTAAATAATTGAGAAATGATCAGTTTATTAGATATAAGTACAAGTAAAGATTTCGATTTCTATCAATAAAAAACAGAACCTTGATCAGTGAAAAATACAAAATTTATCACTAGAAAAATAAATTTTGCCAGTAGAAAATAAATTTAAGGAAATCAAAGAATCACATACTCAGTAAGAAGAAATTTTAAGAACAATTTAAAAAATGAAAACGAAAATAGAATTATTGTATCAGTAAAGCAGATTTGGCCTCTGTTGGTCTTCCTCGTTTTCTCTTCTCACCGGTCAGAACTGTCTTTGCTACTGCTGGTAGTTTACAGTATTTCAAACGAATAGCCATACCAACAACGTGTTTGCATAAATAATTTTTTAAGAAAGCTGGACAATTCCATTTCGATGCTTTCCAATTTGAACCATTTTTCATTTTCATACACCAAATATCAAATGATTTCTTGAATTGATTACATGTTGTCCATTTTTTTGCTATATTTATTTAAATCAGCTTGTGTAATTGATTGTAAGTCACGAGCTGGTATATGATTTTTTTTTCGGAGAATCATATGGAATACAAATGATATCTTTTGATGATTGAGCCCATTGATATGATGCAGTTCATAATTCTAAAGATATTGTTGTTTCTATACTTTATTACCATCTGCATGATATAACTGATAAATATTTGCAGAACATTGAGGACCACGAAGTTTGTCTTTTTTGCATCGATAATAAACTTTTCTTCGATCTTTTGTATAGTTTGTATAATATTTTGACCACTGGCTTTCAATTGATGCTTCTGCTTCATCAGTATTATCAAATATATCTTTTTTAACCCAAAATTTTGATTTCTTTTTTCTTTGGATTCTATTATTTTCATTTGTTTCACGATCTTCTCCCACCACCTCTTCTTCTAATATATTGCTTTCATATTGAGCAGAGCCGCTATGGCTGAATGGTTAAGATGTTCGACACATATTCACAAAATAGTGTGTTCGAACCTCAGCGCCATCAGACATAGAATAACCTTGGACAAGTTACTAACGGCTGTTTGTCTCAGGCTACCCATCCGATAGCACGCTGACTACGTGCAACATACACAAGCCCTTGTGGCTATCATATGGTTAGTCAGTGTACATGGGGAGCTTAAGTGATTAAGCGAGAGGAACTCTGAGTCGGGCCGGCTTTCTGTCCAGAGCTGCAGCTAGTAATAGTTGTAGGAAAAACATCGGGCTTTCGAAACTGTCCTTGGACAGCACTCTATACTGAAAGGTAGTCGAAAGGCAAAGGTATTCTTCTTTTTTCCGCTTCTTTCTTCATATTGAGTAACTTGTACGACTTCCACCGTTAAAAATATGTCAAATTTTGTAAACGAGAATTATGTTATTTTTATTTAAAAAACGCAAAGTATATATACAAGAATAAATAAAGACAACGACGAGAGAAGCCAAGAACCTTCTTCCCTTCTTTTTAGGTAATGAACAATAAGAAGAATTATTGTTTTAGTTCCGTTCTTGCTTACAAAAGATGTAGGTTACAAGAACGAGAACTTATGTAGAACAGCTGAAGAGAACAAAAAAGAAGAACAAGAGTAATTCATTCTATAATCATTTCCATTTCTATACTGACTATTTAATATAATCGACTGTTAAGAAATTTTATTTATTGATTTTTAAATTTATTTCGAAACCGAATCATTTTAATAACTGATCATTCAAATAATTTACTGATCCTTCATTTAATTATTGGTCATCCATTCAATTTACTGATCATTCATTGATTTTATTGATCACAAATCATATTCCATTTAAAAATGGGTTCTACACTATCATCAATACTAGCTGAAATTTATATGAACGATTATCAACAGCAATTAAATGAATATCCAAATGAACTAAATAAAACATAAGAAACAATTGAATTCATCGTTGAATTCGAAGAAGACAAGGAATTTAATTTCCTTGATACAAAATTTTTAAAAATTAATGATGGCAACTATATATAAAACTTAAATTTAGATGGTTTAGAACAGAGACAGCTACTGATCGATTATTAGATTAGTCGCTATTATCGTCTTGTCTTTCCGTATTACCTTCAAGAGCATGACTAAGAAAGGCAAGAAAAAGAAAATATTTATGTGTACGCTGAGTCATTTTGCTTAAATTTATTATCTGAAGAAGTATCTCATCGATATACGAAACGTCAAGAAAATTTTCGTTCATTCATTAGTTGTAAATAAAATAAAATAAAAGAAGAAAATTTACTCATGCTAAATATTAATTCAATCTTCTTATCAATACAAAAAAACAGTAAGTTCAATAGTTTACTATAGATGAACGAAGAAAATCGTTTGAACTTTAATCTAATGTTCTCCTTCTGTGTGGCTATAAGCTTTCTATTCTTACACATCGATTGTTATTCGGACGAAGCATGAAATAATCTTACAAATGAATGGCTCCAATGGGTGCTGATCTAAGTTTTAAAATAAAAAAAGAAATGCATACTCTAATGTTCTTTCGGGACTGTCGGAAAAGAACAAGAGGCGACGTCAAAAGATGGAGAGCTCAGCATTTAATGAGAGACCTATTGGAAAGCGCGTTGTGTTTATGAATATTGACTCTATTACCTTTACTTTCATACAGATTTGCTATCGAATGGTTGCCTCGTTGATTGTCATACAAACTTACGTCTTTTAATAGCTCGTTACTTTTCTCCTTATGCGCAGAAATAAAAAAACGAAGATATTGGTGCAGCAACCAATAGATGAGAAAATGTAAATGAGTCAACTAAATAAAAGCATGTTATGAAATGATAATGAGATACAATATGCAATCTATGAATCCAGTGTGTGTGGTGCGCTCAACCGTATCACTATTTTATCTGCGTACAGTAAAGACGATAATTATCAGGCAAACGTAATATTGATGAAAAGAGGTTTTTGATGTAAATATATTTGCTGCTCATTCTTTTATTGCTCTCAGTATCCTTGCGCAATCATTACAATTTGGTTGGCAAGTATCTCTGCATGCACGTCTCATACAAGGGAGCGATGTGAAATCAGATTTTGTTTTTGATTAAATCGATTAAAATGATTATGCAGATTTGAAGATCATAGGTAAAAACTTGATTTTTTAATTTTCTGTCAATTGTAGGGGTGGCACATTTACTTTTAGTTACTTTTGACGTCCTTTTTGATGTTCAATGGTTTTCACAATAGTTTAATACATTTGATCAAATATTTTATTTGCTAAGTTGTAGATCTTGACTTCAGCTATAACTTTGCTCGCAACGTCATTTTTTGATATTGTTCATAAACTGAATTATGCACTGTACAAAAA